GCATTTTCTCACGTGCATACTGGCCATCCTCCTGTCTTCCTCTGAGAAGGTTTATTCATTTCCTCTCCCCATTTTTGATAGAGTTTTTGTAATTTCTTTTTGGTTGATATTTGTGGATACCAAATCTTTATCTGATGTGTTGAATGCAAGTATTTTTTTCCATTCAACTAGCTGTCTTATTTTTTTTTTGCCATGTAGAAGCTCTTTATGTAATCTCATTTGTATATTTTTGATTGTGTTGCTTTGCTAGTGGCATCAGATCATGGAAGGCACCTTTTAGGTTCAGATCTTGAAGTGTTTTGCCTATCTTTTCCTTAGTGTACTTTCTATTTTCTGATTGTATCTCAATGTCTTTGATCTACTCTGAGTTGACTGTTGTTTATGTTGTAAGGTCTGGATCCAGCTTTAATTTCTTGCACGTAGCTATTCAATCTTCCCATTACCATTTGTTGAAAAGACTATCTTTATTCCATTTCATGTTCTCAACTTCTTTGTCAAAAATTTCCTGCTCATATATATGGGGTTTTGTCAAATGGTATTCAATTATGACCCATTGTCTTTATTCCAGTACTATGCAGTTTTGATCACTATAGCTTTATAATACAGTTCCAAGTAATGAAATATCTCCCAGTTTCTTATTTTTAGTGTGGCTTTGACTATTTGTGGTCTCTTCTGATACCATACAGTTTTATTATTGGTTTTTCTAGATTCTGGAAGAATGTCATCTGAATTTGGATGTGGATTGCATTGAATCTATATAATAGCTTAGGTAGGATAGTTATTTTAATAATATTAATTCTTCTGATCCATGAACATGGAATATTTTTCCATTTCCTAAGGTCATCTTCTTTTGGACTCTGATATTTGGGTTTGATACACACTTTAGAATAGTAAGCACCTGATTTATGTTCCTATTCAAATAGTTTCACTAACTGAATTGAACACATTTTCTTGAGATGTATGTATGTATTACTTACATACTGCTTTGATTTGTTTTGTATGTTGTTTATTATAATTATTATAGTGTGTAAAGATATTAATGTAGAAGAAACTTTTGAAGTCATCTCTTAAATTAAGCATGAGGTAATGCCCTGAGCAGAGCTCCGGCAGCCGAAGACCTCCAGAACCAGCCACAACCATGCTGAGACCACTCTCCACACGCATGAAGGTACAGGCAGAGAAACAAAGGCATGTGGGTCCCGGGGCTGAGATCTCCAAGCCTGCTCGGATGGGGGCTGAGCATCCTCCACCCAGATCCTCTATCTTCCAGTAGGCAGGGGTCACACCAACCAACTGCCACCCCCCCACCCCGGCACCATGTAATCCCATCAACAGCCAAGACCCAGAGACTATAAAACCCAGCTCCCGGAAGAAACTATAAAACCCAGATCCCATCTTATTATCTCATTCTTGATTTGGACAACCTGGCAGGCTATCAAATGTAACCTGCCCACACGGCAGAGTCTGGCAAACTCCTCGTGGCGTACCCAATATGCCAAATACCAGTAACAATGATGGGTCTCATTCTCCTAACCTTGAAAGAGCCTTGAATGTAGCACTATTTAGAATCTCAGGGCTAGTACGAAGGAGACGTTACTGGTGCCTGCTTGAGGCAATCGACAAACAACAGGATGATCGTGATCGTGATCGTGATTTAAAGTTATAATGGAATAGATTTCCACATCTTTTGTTAAGCTTATTTAGATACTTGATGTTTTGGGGGATACTATTTTAATGGGAGCAACTCCTTGTCACTCTATCCTTCTGATTCATTTTTTTTTAATATGTGAATGCAACTGATTTTTGTGTATTGACTTTGTAGCTGGCCACTTTGCCATATTGGTTTATTGTTTCTAGGAGCTTTTTTTGTGAGGTTCTTCTGTGTATATCATGTCATCTGCAAATAGTGATAATTTGAGGTTTTTTGTGTTTTTTTCCAAGTTTTTTTTTCTTATTTGTAATCCTTTATTTTTCTTGCCTAATTGCTGTAGTCAGAACTTCTAGTACTATGGTGAATGGAATTGGAGAGGTGGACATCCTTGTCTTCTACCTGATCTCAAAAGGAATTCTTTCAGTTGTTCACTATTAAGAATGATACCATTTGTGGGTTTGTTATACATGGCCATTATTATCTTGAGGAGGGTTCCTTTCACTCCTATTTTGTCAAGGTTTTTTTTTTTTAGCGTGTATGGATAGCTTCTAAACAGTTTAAGAAGTGGCTTGAGTCCAGATGTGGGATCATGTAACTCATTAGCAATGGTTTTAAAATAAATTTATTTTTTATTAAAAGTATTATGCCTTTTATATACCTATTTTATATAAACAGGGTCTCAAAAAATTTGGGGGCACAAAGGGTCATGAGTAGAAAAAAATTTAAAAGCCTCTGTCTAATTCACAAATAATTAGACAATTTATATTTTTTCATCATGGTACTTTCTCTATTTATAATACATTTTTGCAATTCATTACACTGTTTTGATTAGGTCCTTCTCATAAAAATATTTTCCTTAGAACAAAAAATATTTTCATCAAAATAAAGGGAATATTTTTTAGTGTATACCTTACTATTATTGTATTAGTCATCTTAGGCTTTACTCTTGGCTCATTTCTTACGTAGTGTTTGTTACATAATCCAACTTTAGTCATGTTCAGATTTTTTCTTTGAGATAAAATGATGCAGTTGAAACTTAGTCTTTTAAAATCATTGAAAGTTCTGATACAATAAGATTTTAGTCAAAACCATAGAATGTTGGTTTAAGGGAATAAAGAATTAACTGTTCTTAATAACTTTTGTCACTTTAATGTATATGTAAGTCTGATTAAATAATAGAAATAAGTTGTTTACAGATCATCTCAATTCATTATTCTTTGAATTACTGAATTAGGTTATTTTTACATGTTACATCAAACTAAGAAGCATATTTTGAGGAAAGAATAATTTTTTCTTAACCAGACTAACAGTGAAGACATTGGCATAAAAAAAAACAGATATGTAAACTAGTTCTTCCTCTTCAAGTTTCCTGTCATTTTCTCTGTTCTAGTGATGATTGTTTTATTATATCAGGCTTATGTAATTTAGTTGAGTTATTTATTTCATAAAAGCAAATATATCACTTGGGTTGTTTAGCCTGATAACTCATTAGTAAACTAAAGATGACTATTTCATTCAAATAATGCATAAGCATTGTTTACTTCAAAGGTGTCTCTAAAACCAGTTTATTTTTGTACTTTCGAACAGCTCTTACAATGTTAACATTAGAAATAAGTAAGAATAGTTTTAATTTGATTCTTTTTAAATGTGTTCTTTAACATGATAGATGATGGGGAACTTTAAAAAAAAGTAGCTATCTTCTTCTACAGGAAAATACTAAGATAATGAGTGACTCCTAGAATTTAAATTCCAGTTGTCAGAATTCTTTTCATATGTGGTCCATAGAATTTGATGGTCTAAAACTATTGGAATCATAGTTCTTCCAGAACTCAAAAAATACATATGCTCTCACCAGCTAAGTTAGCCACTGGGGAAGGGGCAAAATCTCAGAGACATGGATTTGTCCAAATATCTTAACTGTTTTTATGTAACATCACAATTGAATATGTAGGATTATCTGGGTTGGCATGATAAAATAGCGAATTGGACACTTGTCACCACGGAGCGAACATGGGTTGAATCCCTAACACCCCATATGGTCCCCTGAGCCCTGCCAGAAGTGTTCCCTGAGTGTGGAGCCAGGGGTAAACTACAAACAAATTGTTGTGAGATCATGAGCATATGAAATCTTGGAGACTTTTAAAATACTAAATATTTGAAGTTTTTCTAAACTTATGGAAACTGAAAAGAGCAAGACAAATTTTATTAACTAAAATCTTTCCCTTTATATAAAAAAAAGCGAGAAAATTTTTCAATTAAAAAAAGTTTCTTTTAAAAAACAAAAAAATTTTAAAAAGAAAATGTGAAAGCAAGAAAATATAAGAAAAATTTTAAGAGAAAACATGTTTTCCCTTAAGTTTTAGGGGCCTTATAGGTTGCTGTACATAAAATATAGATAGATGTAACTATTTAGTGATCCCTGGTTACTGAACATAAACTAGTTTTTGCATAGTTTAATATTTACAAAAAATTGAATTTAATTATTTTCATGGAAATATACCTGAGATCCATGTTTATTTTTTTTCAGAATGTTTACTTTAAATGTCTTAACTTTAAATGTTTATAGATGAACATTAACCAAAACAGAGGCTTTAGATGAATTAATAAAGAAAAAATTTTATTCAATTTTTTGTCATAAGGATAATGACTACTTATTCATATATGACCACCTTGTGAAACCATCTTCCATTATTAATATTGCAGTGTTAAAGGCTAATTGAAGTCACTAATAATCACATCTTCCTAGTTCTTATTAATAATCCTTAGAATTACAGAAAACACATATGTTGTATTCATTCTACATATAGAAAAAAAGAGTAGTATTGGAGAAATAGGGTTTAAGGTTTCTGTCTCATACAGCACCAGGGGTAGCCCCAAGAACTTCTAGATGTGGCCCCCAAGGGACAAACGAGACTAAATTACTTTTACCAGCATCAAGGTACTAAAAGCAATCATAACTATTTAAGTTTTTAAAATTCAGTCCAAAAATTAGCCACATTGTTTTGAAGAATAGTTTATATGGCAAAATAAATGACCTTAAATTTTCCCCCTTTTGGATTACATTTATATTGCATCACTGTTGGGGGAAAGTGGTTGGCACTCAGGCCCATTGGCAGTCACTCTGGGAAGTCTTTTTAAGAGAAGTAGAAATATTTAAAATTTATCTGTGTTACAGAGTAAGTTTTGTTTAGTTTTCTAAAATCTAAAAATACTTGGGTGATTGAAGTATGTTTTTATTTTAACAATGAAATTTAATTCTTTCTCTTTTAGTTTGGATTTTAAATGACTTTCTAGATGAAACTTTAGTTATTTTTTAATAGTAATATATTTATTCATTTTGTTTTTTTAGGAGATTTTATGAAGATGGAGCAATTGTTTTAGGTGATGAGGCAAATATGCTTGCTGGAATGCTGCTTGGGCTCAATGCTATTGATTTCAGGTACTTAATATAACAAAATGGACTTGTTATTTATTCTGTCTTGGAAACTAGGGCTACTTCAGTGTTAGAGCTCTTGCCTTGCTTGTGTGAGTTTCTGGCTTTAGATTTTGGCACTACCAATGAATAAATATGTCACTGTCCTTCCGTTGTTCATCGATTTGCTGGAGCGGGCCCAGTAACGTCTTTATCGTGAGACTTATTGTTACTGTGTTTGGCATATCGAATACTTCACAGGGAGCTTGCCAGGCTCTCCAAGAGGGGCGGAGGAATCGAACTCGAGTCGGCCATGTTGGCCACTTGCAAGGCAAATAAATGCCTTACCCGCTGTGCTATTGCTCCAGCCCAAATATGAAAATAAATAAAATAAATATTTCTGCCACACGATAGTTTGTACTAATTACCTTCAGTCTCTCACTTGGGCAAGATAAAAGCTTAAATTATATTTTTCCCAATCAGAAAAATCTCGTAGCAATGAAGGAAAATTTGGGGTCTTACTTCTTAGTATTTTTGACCTACTGCTTTAAAATGAAAAGATATAAATTAAAATTGAATTCAAAACCAGAAAAAAAATTATCTTATTTATTAAGATCCTCACTGGATATCCTGTGCCATATTTCTTGTATTATGTACCTAGAATATAAATAATATTGTTAATATCTGCTATTTTATCTGCAATATAAGATGATTTTAATCTAAAATTGCAAGATTTATTAGTGAACAAACATGATCACTACAAGCTCTTTTGAACGAAGTTTTTGGGTTTATTTATAAGTAATCCAAAATTTTAGATCATACTAAAAAAGATTTAGCATGAGCTCAAACATTAGAATTAAGGAAGTACTCTATTATTATATATATTATTAAAAATCTGTTTATTAACAAAATTAGTATAATAATGAAAATCTACTATATGTCTTGAGTATAAAATTAGTTAATAATGTTTATTTTCACTGATATTATCTCAGGTATCTCTAATAAGAGATTTATGTAGTGTAGGATAACATTGGTTTGTCCTTTCTCCCTTACCACAAAGAGCTTACATTTATCTGGCTAGACCCATCACAGTGCTCCTGAGACACTTTCATTCCTTTGTTTATTTGTAACCTCTTTTGCTGTGCTCTGCTTCCCCAACCAGTTAATCACTTGTATCTCTTAATCAGACTCTGTTAACTTGTAAGGTCAGATCCTTCTAAGGACACTGGACTTATATTCATAAGTGAAATACTGCCTTTCTCTTCTTATGTCCTTTTACTTCAGAGCAATGTCCTTTTTGAGCAGACACAGAAAGGCAGTTAATGCTATGCTTTTGTAACTTGGGAGTTAGTTAATTGACTCCAAATAATATTCACTCCTGGGCATCTGTTTTTCTCGACTTAAGCCTCAGCTGCCCTTACTTCCTAGCATCCCAAAATCACAGTCCTCACAGTAGAGTGGATGGACTCAGGGCAGGCTGTGAGCTACCCTAGTATCGAAATGGGCCAGGCCAAAGTGCCATAATACTTAACTATAAGTTAAGAGCATGGTCATGGACAAATTCTGTCATGATCCAAAAAGTAACAACTGGATAAGGACCCTGCTAGAGTTAGGAAACACTAATCTGGCCTGAGCACTGTAGTCTGATATCTATAGCAAGATGCCCCCAAGAGAGCCATCCTATAAGCTTAATGTAACTCTTACTGTGTCCATCAAAGTAATTAATTTTATTAAGGAGTAGAATTAAGACGAATGCTTATATGTTTGTTGGACTAAGGCTAGGAGAAACACACCCATAGATGGTATATTGACCTTGGGTGGGTCATCCTGCTGAATCAGAGTTTGTCCTAGAAGAAGCTTTCTCTCAGGGAAGGACTTTACATCTATTGATTGTATGACCAGTCCCTTATCATTTGGGATCTGTAAGAGTGGATGAGGGGAGAATCATTGAGAAAGAAGGAGAATCATGGAGAATTCAGGAGAAGTATGAAGGAGCAGGGTCCAAGAGGAGGATGAAGGGGATCGGAGAAGGGAATGAGGAAGAGGAATGGAGACGAGATTGGAATAAACTGCAATTGATAACCAACCAGCCTGGCCTCGTTCCCTCCTTCGTCTTCCCATCACTATTGGCCACCCCTGGGTGGGGGAAATGGCCTGAGACCACCGAACACAGGTGGCGAGAGCCACCGTGGCTGTCATATTTGTTTTCTGAATACACAATGTAGCACAACTTTTATTTAAAGTTATATGTGCTAATTATAATATTTATTGTCTGTTATTTTAGCTTCTGCCTGAAGGGTGAGGGATTGGATGGCAGCTTTCCTGCTGTAATAGACTACACACCATATCTGAAGTTTACCCAAAGGTATCAGACGGTTTGGAATATGTTATTAAAATCTTAATTACAATTGTTCAATGACTTAATCTAATTAAAAATATTTTTCATTGAACATTTATTTCAGTCCAGAATCAATAGAAAATACAAAATCCAATTGTTACTTTTCAGAAAAAATGAATTTATACTTTTTTACATAATTGTAATCCTAACATACAGTTTCTAAAAAATAACATTTATGTTATTTATAGTTATTATAAATATATAAATTCATTGCGATTTAAAAACTTTAACTCATTATTTTGATGTTTTACTTTTATTTCAATTATAGAGAAAAGAAGACTGTATTTGTGTAAATCAGCATTTGGGGGATTTCTCTAGTGAGTTGATAGAGTTGTTTAGGTAGCACTACACTGTAGCACTGTCCTCCCATTGTTCATCGATTTTCTTGAGTGGGCACCAGTAATGTCTCCATTGTGAGACTTGTTACTGTTTTTGGCATATTGAATATGCCACGAGGAGCTTGCCAGGATCTGCCGTGCGGGGGGGGGGGGGGGGGTGGATACTCCCGATAGCTTGCCAGGCTCTCTGAGAGGGACAGAGGAATTGAACCCAGACTGGCCGCATGCAAAGAAAATGCCCTACCTGCTGTGCTATTAAAATTATAGCCCTTAAAGCTATAATTCCTCCAGAACGGCAATGGAGAAGATTATCCATGACTTCTACTCAAATCTCTTCGATAGCCATGTCCACTTGCCGACATACCAAATTCCACAGGATGGATATGCCATTCCCAACGTTCTCCCTTCCGAAATCCGACACGCCATGTCGTCGGTAAAGAAACAAACAGCACCCGGCCCAGACAAGGTCAGACCCGAACACCTGAAGAACCTGCCGTCAGTACTCATCAATACACTGGCTCGGCTCTTCACTCGCTACCTGTCTGAATGCAAGGTTCCGTCCCAATGGAAAACCAGCAGGACCGTACTACTGTTCAAGAAGGGAGACATCCATGACATTGGCAACTATCGCCCGATCTGCCTATTGTCTGTCATCTACAAGCTGTTCACTCGAGTCATCCTGAATAGGATTGGCAGAACACTAGATGAAGGACAACCATGCGAGCAAGCAGGGTTCCGCAAAGGATTCAGCACCATCGACCATATCCACACGGTAACCAAGCTCATTGAGGTTTCTCGGGAGTTCAAGATGCCGCTCTGCTTAACGTTCATTGATTTAAAGAAGGCCTTTGATTCTGTTGAGACGGAAGCGGTCATTGAAGCCCTAGCCAATCAGGGCATTCAAGCCCAATACATCAGGATCCTCCGAGAGCTCTATTGCGGATTCACTACCAGGATGTCACCATTCTACAAAGAAGTGATCGTTCATGTCAAGAGAGGGGTGCGGCAGGGTGATACCATTTCACCGAAACTCTTCAGTGCCACCCTCGAGAACATCATGCGACGACTGGAATGGGAAGGAATGGGAGTGAAGATAGATGGTCGGCAACTACACCACCTCCGCTTTGCTGATGACATTGTTTTAATAACACCAAACATCAGCCAAGCGGCACAAATGCTGGCCGACTTTGACCGTGAGTGTGGAAAAGTACGACTACAGCTGAATCTTACGAAGACAATGTTTATGAGAAACAGCCTCATTCCTGATGCCCCATTCGCTCTCAACGGAACGACCATCTCCGAATGCAACAGCTATGTGTACCTAGGTCGAGAGGTCAACATGACAAATGACCTGGCACCCGAGCTGCGCAGGGGAAGAGAGCGGCTTGGAACACCTTCAAGAACGTCGAAGAAATAGCTAAGAGGATGAAGAACCTCTGGCTCCGGGCACATCTCTTTGATTCCACTGTTCTTCCTGCATTAACATATGCCTCAGAGACCTGGGCCCTACGCAAACAAGATGAGAACGCTATTCAGGTCTCCCAAAGAAGAATAGAAAGAGCTTTGCTTGGAATATCACGTTTCACTCAAATGAGAGAAAGAATCCGGAGTTCTGACATCCGTCGACGATCAAGAATCAGGGATGCTGTCTCGTTTGCCAAGGTGTCAAAAATCAGATGGGCTGGTCACGTAATGAGATTTAAAGACGACCGCTGGACTAGAGCTGTTACCGACTGGATTCCACGGGATGTTAAAAGGCCGCGTGGCCGCCCACCTACCAGATAGTCAGACTTCTTCGTGAAGATCATGAACGATCGGTTTGAGGCCCTTCATGTTCCTGGAGCGAACAGATGCCATTGGGCTACACTAGCACGCGACAGGGACAAATGGAGACGTTACTGGCGCCTGCTCGAGCAAATCGACGGCTAACAGGAAGTTAAGTGAAGTGATTAAGTGAAAGCTTTAAAAGAGTTGCATTCTATCTTATTGCCAATATTTTATGAGAGTTATCATTTTCCCACAGTCTCATCGGTAATTAAAATATATCAGATTAAATCTATATATTTTTAGAGAGGCTATTTGAATGATTGCCTAAATAGAATGATGACCTTTCTATGTCTTTAAAATATCACAGTCAGGCAACAGCTTAAGTGAGAGAGTAAATCATCTGTACATGCATATGTGTATGTAAATATAAAACACTTATGTATACAGACCTACATTTAGATGCAACTTTGGGGTGTCTCATGAAGGTAAAGAATTTTTCTAGATGTCAAGAGTGTCAGAACTCCATGAAGTTTTCTCAAGAAAAGTTCAACAATGCTGTATACACATGCTAGGTATGTGCTCTACCCCAAACCCACATCTAATTCCATAGTGCTTTGGAGGTCTCCTTGGCAGTGCTCCAGAGCCTAGCAGTGCTCAGCTGCCATCGTAGTTACATACATACATGTGTTATACCATACATAGTTACCTAACACAGTGCCAAGGATTGAATTTAGGATTTCATTCATACCAGGTATTGCTCTCCAACGTTTTAAGCTATTCCCTGTCCTCTTCCCCACTTTTCAGTTTTGAGTGTTATAACCAGCAGTCTTTGTACTTAAACCTGATATTTTTCCTAGAGAGGCAAATTTGTACATAGTTGTTGATTTATACTGTACAATGAAGTATGTTCTTAAGTTACCCTTCTTGGGCATAATGTTCCATATTCTGTCTTTGAGAAATAAATAAACTTATGATTTTTTCTGCATAAGGTCAACTCTTTACTAGAGGTAATATACCCTATCCTCTTTCTGTCTATTAAGGTCTTTATGCCAGTAGTTATCTTTTTTCCATTAAATTCCTTTGTTTACAAATCTTCCCTACACATCACAGCATATTAACATTATTTCCCCATTTTTTAAAAAGAAAATAGGGGACTGGGAATTTGGCTCATGTAAATCCAAAATCTTGGGTTTAATCCCCAGCATCAGGTGGCCTTCCCTGTTGAGTAATATGGATGTGGCCACACAACTATTAAAAGGAAAAGGAGAGAAACTGTACTAATCTATAGTTTACTTCTAGCTACTTCTCATTCCTCCACCCTTTACTTCAGTGTTTTTGTTTTGTTCTCTTAAACTATGCAGATTGACCTTTAAGACCTGTCCTTGGATCTGTTCTTATCAAAGTCAGTAGTGACATTTCACTGCCAAATTCAATGATTAGTTTTACTCAGCTGACTTTTCAGCTGTGTTTGATACATGATACACAAGATTGCTCTTCTTATCACTCTGGCCTTCCTTCTGTTTTCTCCTCCTACTCTCTTTTACACATTATCTTTTTATTTCCCCAACCTCTACATGTTGAACTGTTTCAAAGATAGAGATAAATAATCATCTCTATCTATACTCTTCTGTAAGTCTCATCCATATTCATGGTCTAAATAGGATCCTTATACTGTTATTTCTTAAATGTAAAATATAGAAAAGTATTTCTCAACAATAGCATACATTTCTTTGGGCAATATGAAGACTTTAACTCTAAAATTTTTCAGTCTGTGAGTATGAAGTATTATTAATGTCTTGTGGTTTTCAGGGTACAGATCTTTAAATTTCTTGGCTAAATTTATTTCTGTGCTGTTGTTGATGTGATTGTAAATAGGGTAGTTCTTTTCTCTTTCAGGTAGTTTATAATTAGTGCATAAAACACAATTGATTTTTGTATATTGATTTTATATACTACAGCTTTACCAAGTTTTAGTTTTAACAGTTTTTGGTGCAGTGTTTGGGGTTGTCTATATATATAAAATACCATTTCATCTGCAAATAGTGTAGTTCCTTAGTTCTTTTGAAATTACTGTCTAGCTAAGATTTGTTTACATACTAGCTTAAGTGTCAATAATTGTCCACCACAATAATTTTAATTTTCTACCATTCCTACTGGTTTTCTATTTTCTACCTCCTTCCCTTCTAGTTTTCTACCTCCATTTTAAGTTACCTCAGTTCTGTAGTCAGACTCAAAAGATTTGTTTTCATTGGACATTGTGTGAGCAATAGCACAGCAGTAAGGCGTTTGCCTTGCCCAAAGCCATCCCAGCCTAGCCGGGTTTGATTCCTCCACCCCTCTCGTAGAGCCAAGCAAGCTATTGAGTATCTCACCCACACGGCAAAGCCTGGCATGCTACCCGTGACGTATTCGATATGCCAAACACAGTTACAAGAAGTCTCAAAATGGAGACGTTTCTGGGCCCCGCTCAAGCAAATTGATGAACGGATGGGAGGACAGTGACAGACAGTGGACAGTGTTGCCTAAAGTAGGCAATGCTGCCCTCTATGGGCGGTGAAAGTATCCAGTAATACCCTCTGGTGCAATTGAGAGACACTTTGATTTGTTCACTTAAAGAAAGTAGATTTCCTTCTTCTGCCTTCTTAGCATAAAACCTTCCAAATTTCCAAATTCTATTTCCCTTGTAGCGAAAGAGACTTACTTTTTTTAATATAACTGAATAATATTCCACTGCTTTTAAAATTCTAGTTCATTCTTTTTTTTAGTTCATTCATTCTTGACATCTTTTCTTATTGCCCAGAATTTTAAAAATATTATTGATTTATTTATAATTCCAAAGAGTAGGAATCTTGCTATTGTTCTATTCCCTCACTGCATGTTAAGTATTATCTGTAAGCTTATCTTTTTCTTCTTACTTAACCTTCTTGGATAATTTTTTTGTTTTTATAACTACAAATAATTAGATGTTATTTTATTGAAAAAAGCTTGATACATTTCTCAGGTTTTATTTTTTGAAAATATGCTTATACTACCATTTTTCTGGGAAAAATTTCTGGATATACTATTTTAGTATGGGGCTGGAGCAATAGCACAGTGGGTAGGGCATTTGCCTTGCACGTGGCCGATCCGGGTTCGATTCCTCCGTCCCTTCTGGAGAGCCTGGCAAGCTACTGAGAGTATCCCGCCTGCATGGCAGAGCCTGGCAAGATCCCCTGGCATATTCGATATGCCAAAAACAGTAACAGCAAGTCTCACAATGGAGACATTACTGGTGCCCACTCGAGCAAATCGATGAACAATGGGAGGACAGTGCTACAGTGCTACTATTTTAGTATAGGAGGGTTTGGGGCTTAGCATTTGGAAATATATGTAGTAATGTGATTTTTTCCACCTGGCTTACACTTTACTAATTCTTTTTTCAACTGTAACTTCTTTTTAGCTGAACCATTTCATTTTAATGTGAAATACCATTTTCACTAAATCCTGTTTTTTTTTTTTCAAAAATGAAGCTTAATCCCTATGGTTACTGCTTTTTTTGCTCCTATTTACCTAGAGCAATGACTGTGACAGGCATATTTCCTCTGGTGTGTGTTTATTGGTTTGTTTCCTAGATCACGAATAACATATTTTTGGTTGGAACTGTTAATGCTGAGTTTTCTGATTCATATTTGCAGTGTGCTAGGTCATAAAATCAAGAGTTCAACAGATTAGAAAGATGAGATATATATCTTTTATCTTTAAGAGTGGTTTCCTCATTTTATCATTTATTTTAAGAAATTGTCATTTCTCTTTGGGTTTGTATGTTATGCACTTATTTATACAAGATTATTTTGTATATTATGTTAGTCTTTAAATGCAGAACTATGTAAGGATTATGTAAATTTTGACTTTATCTTGGTGTTCCTTTTTCTTTTTCCTAAATTATTTGAATATTATATTTATGATCCTAACTGTTTTTTCATAGTTACTTTATATCATATCAAAGATAATTGTTTCCTCTTAAATTACACTTTTGCATCTGAAGTGGATATTGATTTTTGTTGAAGGCTCTTTTTTCATGTAATCAAGGTGGACAGATCTTTACATTACTATGATCAGACTCATTTTATCTTGATTTATATAGAGTTGGGTTTGATCTGTTAGTTCAAAAGCTATAGGATGTAAGGAAAAAAACTACAGTATGTAATATCCTTTCAAATTTTGGGGCCAAAGGATAGTACAGCAGGCAGAGTGCTTGCCTTGCATGCAGCCAACCAGAATTGGATCCCTGGAATTTCATAAAATCCTCTGACCTCTTGATTCCTGAGTACAGAGCCCTGAGCACCATCACGTGTGGCCCCCAAACAAAAATGAATGAAAAACAAAACAGGAAACATAATACTAAGTAATAAACTTGCAAAAAATTATTTCAGTCCTGATTTTCTTTTGATTTGTATTAGAGTGCTTTTCATCTTTTAAATTTTTTAAACTTCCTTTTTTATCTATATCTTGTAGAAAGCTTATTATTGAATTTACTTGTCTGAATCAAATCTGAGCATCTGGCTATTGTGTTTAAGATTTTGTCATTTCTTTTAAATAAGGACTACTGTGACTTTTTTTTTACTTTGGATTTATCGCCCTTATTAATTTTCCCTCTTTTAGGTCAGAACTTTTTTATATTTGAAGGTCATACAGATTTCTTTTATGTCTTATTTCTTGTATGTTAATGTTTCTCACTTTGAAGCTCATTTTTTCTATTCCATTCTAAGTTTATTGATTTTCTATTTTGTTGAAGGCAGATATTCATATTAGCAGACATTCTTATCTAATTATTTGTCTCCCTATTTCCACCCAATTCTGAACCACTCTACCATATTAATGAAATAAGGAATGTTTAAAAATGGGTAATGGATTGTTCCTCTGTGCCTCTCATTTTCCGCAATGTGTTTTTCTGAACCTCTTGTTCTCTCATTGCCAGAGCTGAACTGACCTTGAACACTGACATCCTGACAGGATACCTTATTGGACTTAGGAGGCTTGCAGTGGTTGCCCCCCAACCTCAACCCCCAATACTGGAGTTTGCACAGATGAATTTGATTTCCCGGAGCAGTAAAAGTTAGCTACAGAGCTCTTTCTAAGACATCTGAGATGTCTGATTGTCTTTTTCTCTCTTACCTCACAATACTCAAGGCCTGCTGTTGGCTCTGTACTCAGGCATCACTCCTGGTGGTGCTAAGGGCACTGTGTGTGGTGTCAGTGATTGAACTCTGGCCTGCCACATACAAGGCAAGTGCCTTACTTACTGTACTGTCTCTCCAGCAATCGGTTCTTTTTTTCTAGAATCTTTTTTTTTCTCTCCTCAGAATACTATCGATATCTATACTGTGATTTTTTTAAAAAAATAAATTAATTCTGTTATTCTATAACCCTCACTTGAATTTCTATAAATTTGTAAGAGGAACTCAGCAGTCCATGCTAGGTTGTTGATTTTTTTTTACCAGGAAATTAAATTTATATATCATCATTGTCATTATTTGGTCACTGTCCTCCTGTTGTTCATCAATTTGCTCGAGTGGGTCCAGTAATGTCTCCATTGTGACAATTGTTACTGTGTTGTGTATATCGAATACATCACGGGTAACATGTTACAAGGCAAATGCCCTACCTACTGTGCTATCACTCCAGCCCCTTGTCATTATTTAGCACTAAATATTTTAGAGTTTTCTTGCCAGTAATTTACAAATGAAGGTATATTTATTTACAAAATATAAGTGAAACCTGTTGTTAATTTTATTTCCTCTTTAAAACACTGATTTCCTCAGTTCTGACAGCATCAGCAGTGATGAGGAGGAGCTGAGGACCTTGGGAAGCAGTGGCAGTGAAAGCAGCACTCCGGAGAATGTCGGGCCTCCTTTCCTCATGGATGAGAATAGTTGGTTCAACAAGTGTAAGAGAGTTAAGCAAAAGTATCAACTAACCTTAGAACAAAAGGTATTCATTACATATGTTATATATATTATTATATATATTATAAAATTGTCAAAATCCCTTTATTTTGTTCTAGTTACTGCCTTTGGACTGCCACTGTCAAAAAAAAGTTTTAGACACATATATAATTATTTATCCATCACTAATTTTTTTTCTGTTCTTGATTTGACTTTTTCCAAAAGATTAAAAATCTTGATTAAAAATCAGTCCAAGGGGATGGAGCAATAGCACAGTGGGTAGGGCGTTTGCCTTGCACGCTGCCAACCCAGGTTCGATTCCCAGCATCTTATATGGTCCCCTGAGTACTTCCAGGGGTAATTCCTGAGTGCAGAGCCAGGGGTAACCCCTGTGCATCGCTGGGTGTGACCCAAAAAGGAAAAAAAATTAGCCCAAATTTTAGAAAAAGCTTTTATTATACTTAAAAGTTTTAAATGTTTTAATGTAAAACTGTAAGACATTTCCTGCCTAAATCTTTATATATGTTTAAGAAATTAGTTTCCAGTAACTAATTTTATAGAAGATTATTTGGTTTGTGTAAATGTAATCATGCTTAAGCAAATTTAATGTTTCTTCTCTTTAGTTGGTTATTTAGTGACTCTTTTTTATTAAGCATTATAGGAGACAAAGTGAAATTTCTAACACAACAGAAAATAAAATATATTGTCTTGATGAATTATGGTTTCTTTTTTTGCTGTATTTTAATTTTCCTCTACTTTTCTTTCAAAAATGCATTCTTCATAGGTGATATATATATATACATATATATACATATATGAAGCTCAACTGAATTACTGATAAAAGGAATAGTAAAAAATACTGAGGGAAAATAATTACAAAGCAAACCTACAGATATGAATAGATTTTTATATAAAAGCAATTGCTAGTAATAAAACACAAAGATTCCCTCTAATAACTACAAAATCTAAAATTCTATATAGTAGATAATCTATATAAAGCTATATAATTCCATATTTAAAAAGGCATCTAGAACGATCAAGGAGTCAAAAATAATCCAAAAGCCTTTATTTTGAAAAAAAAAAGACTAAAAAAATATTACGCAAGTATGATTTTAATAGCCTTACACAGACCATTTTCCAGCAATTCCATTCCTAGCCACGTGTCCTAGAATTCTAGGCTATCAGAACCAGGAGATATAGGTGAATATACACAGTGATACAGTATATAGTAAGAAAAATGGACTCATTCAAATAGCCATTTGGAAGAGGATGGAAACATAAGCTGAAGAATTTATATATTGAAATACTGTACAGAATTGAGAATAAGCTGATCTGGGAGGTAGAGCAGCAGACCTAGGTTTCATTCCCAGCACCCTGTAGTTCTTGGATGTGGCCCTGGAGGCCCTTGAACCACCACTAGGATACGTGGCACTGCCAGGCCCCAGCAACTCACAGCCTTGAGATTTCTCTGAACTACCCACCAGGTGGGGGAGAATCACCATGGGGTCCCCTGACCTCCTGAACACCCCTCACAAAAATTTAACAACAAGAAAGTTTCAAAAGCAAAACAATATATTGTTTGAGGCAACAAATAGTTGTGGTAAAGCTAGAAAGAAATAGGAGATGAACACAAATATGAGAAAACTATTATCTTTAGAGAAGATACAAAGGAATTTGATAGTGGAAAGGCACTGTAGGGGCTCTGTAAGTATTAGTATTTATCTTTGTTGGGTACCTACCTAAGTGTTTTTTAATTACTAGTGCTTTAAGGCAGTAACAGTTTATGTTATGTTGTGTACCTGTGGAAATACTTTATTTTAATTTTTTGACATTTTAGGAGATGACAAATATTTGAGAATCAGGAAAAAAGATCTGAAAAAAAAGTTCAGATGGGGAGAGAAAAATTAGCTACATTTTTTGTTTGTTTGCTTTGGGACCATATCCAAAGATGCTCAGGGCTTACTCCCTGTTTTGTCTCTGTGCTCAAGGGATCACTCCTTATGATCTTGGGGGACCATATCAGGTGCTGGAGATCGAACCAGGTCGACTGCATGCAAGGCAAACATCCTACCTGCTGCATTATTACCCCAACCCAATATCATATTTGATATGTATCTTAAAACTAAAATTTAATGACACATGAATAGAATAAAATTACGGAATAAAAGAGTATTCTAAGAATATATTCTAACACTTTCAAAAGATTCCAAATAATGAATCCTATATTAAATTTTTTGTCCTCAGTTTATTATTTCATCAGTGATAGTTTTAAATTGTTTCTATTAAGATAAAGATAAAGAATGGATTTAAACTATAAAGCATTTGTCTTTGAGATATAAATGAGAAACTTGCATTTGCTTATCCTAGCAATACTGTATTTTCAGGGTTATCTTGAAGAACTCCTACGACTTCGAGAGAACCAGTTGTCTGAATCTGTCTCCCAGAACAAAATACTGCTTCAAAGGATTGAAGATTCTGATTTGGCCCATAAATTGGAAAAAGAACAATTAGAGTATATAATTGTGGAACTTCAAGATCAGCTGTAAGTGAGATCCTCTTGGAAAATTTTTGGTAGTATGTAAATACAAAAGAACATTGTGTTTTGACAGTGGAATTTTTATATTAGAATAGAAGATCTTTTTTTCATAACAGCACTTTTTTTAAATGAAGAAAACTATATATTAGTGAAAATTCCAGTAAGCTTCTTGTCACTTGTCAAAGAACTTAATAATGATAGCACCTTTTCAAACTTGATTTTATCAGTTGTTTATGGTCTTAATTTTCTTGTGTCAGTATCTAATCCTAAAGGATGATTTTAAATTTTTAAAAAATTTCAAACTTTCAGAAAAATTGAAAGGATAGGATAAAGATTCCCATATTCTCTCTCCTAGAGTCATCAGTTTTCAACATTTTGCTACAGTTAGCTTATGATTATCTCAGTCTTACAGAATCTTACTACATTGTACTTAACCACTAATATTTAATTATTTAGCCAACAATGATCCTTCAACACAGCTGCATGTGTCCTAAGCCCCCCACTCCCAAACCAAAAAAAAAAATACTAAGTACTTTAATGTTAAGTACTTAATACTTAAATACAATTTAAGAAACAGACTGATACAATAGCACTTTTATCTTGACTCCAGGATACTAAGGACCTAGAAGTTCATTTCCCTAAATAATCAGACTTGTGCGTTTCTTAACACTGGGACACCTATAACCTAATTTGAGAGTGAGAGTATAACCTCCACATCATGGAGAGAGGGGTTGAGAGTCAGAGAGAAGTGTGAACCCTGTCTACCATAAACTGACAGTGTACTATTGCGCAGATTATATCTTTTATTTTTAATTTAAACTAATTTTTATTTATTTATTTATTTTATTAGTGAGACATGTGAGGTACAGTTGTAGACTTACAAATTTTTGTGCTTGGGTTTCAATTATACAATGATCAAATGCCCATCCCTCCACCAGTGCCCATTTCCCACCACCAAGGATCCCAGTATCCCTCCCACCCCCCATCCCCCCCATCCCCCGCTGCCTCTGTGGTGGGCATTCCCTTTTGTTCTCTCTTATTGGGTGTTGTGGTTTGCAAAAGAGGCAATGGGTGACAATAATGTTTGGTCTATAGTCTACTTTCAGCAGGGCAGATTATATCTTGATAAATCTGTTTTCCTTCCCATAATGGTGATGGAAAAGCTGCTAATCTCCTGGGGCTGTTGTGAGGATTCAAAGAAAACATGCAGATTATTGTGTGAACCAAGTGCCTAGAAATAAAAAGCAAAAGCACTGATAACAAATTAGCCAAAAAAAGAAAAAACCCTCTTTTACCTCTAACTCATATTTTAATTTCATCAGTTGTACCAATAATAACCTTTATTGTAACTGTTGTTTTTTCTGACGCAGAGTACAATTCAATCACATTTTGCCTTTGTTGTCAGCCTCTTAGGGTGGCATGTTTAGAATAGTTTCTTAGTTTGTGTCTTGTTGAAGACTGATATTGATGGAGAACATAGGCTAGTTATCTTGTGGTGACTTTCGAGTGTGTTCATTTTCCTCGTGAGTAGAATGAGCTCACCTACTTGGGCTGCAATATTATAAGTGGTGTCTCCTCATCACATCCAGAGGTCCGTAATGTCCATTTAGTACTAGTAGAGGTTTTAATTATTTGGTGAGATATTTTTCTCTTCTGTTTAGTTATTGTTGGTCCTTTTGTAATTAGCCTGTCATTTACAATGAGATACTTTGATACTAAGTAAATATGAATGATGACTTTTAAAAGTTCTATTAAGGAACATGAAATTTTAATGTGCTCTACGCCTCTGTATTCTGATAAAAAGAATTATTTTCATGTTTTTTTTCCCCTATTTTTTCTGAAATTTCAAGGAAGGAGTTTGTTAAGTGACATTTTTTCATGTTACTTACTGAGGGAAACCTTTCATAGTCCCTTTGCTTCAATAAGTTGGGAGAAAATAAAATTTTAATTACTGGGCTTGAGAGACAGCTGAAAGCTCTGTAGCTAATGCTTTGCATGTGGGATGCCCAGATTCAATTCCTGACATCACAGATGGTCTCTGAGTGCTGCTGGGAGTAAATGCCAAGTACTGTGCTGGGAGCAGCCCTGAGCACCTTCAGAGGTAGCCCCAAAACAGCAACAACAAAAGAACTCAACTGTCCAGACTTTTTGATCATTTCTTTACAGGAGTGGGGGTCAGGGAGGAGGAAGGGGGAGAGGAGAGGGGGAAAGGAAAGAGGGGAGAGGGAGAGGGAGAGAGAGAGAGGGAGGGAAGGAGGGAGAGAGGGAGGGTAAGGTGCCTTACATGCAGCCAACATGTGTTTAATTCCTACATCCATAGAGTCACCAGACACTGCTAGGATTGAATCGCTGAGTGTAGAGCGAGGATTAAGCTCTGAGCACCACTGGGTATGGCCTAAAATAAACACAATTTTTTTTATTAATCAAGAAGAGGAAAGAGAAGGAGAGAGGGAGTGGGAAGGGGGGGGAGAGAGAGAGAGAGAGAGAAAGAGAGAGAGAGAGAGAGAGAGAGAGAGATCATGTTTACCATGAGCAAGGCCAAGGTTCAGTCTCCAGTTCAAAATATGTTCTGCCAGGACCAACTCCTGAGCAAAGCTGGAACCCACTAAGCACTGGGTTTGCATCATCTCCCCCTCCGACCCCCCAAAAATTTTGTTTTTCTTTTGCCATTTATACTGGTAGTTTATCTTTGGGGAGACAAACACATGGTATTTGAGCCACATTGGCAGTGCTCAGGGACTACGCCTGGCTCTGTGCTCAAGAGACCATATGTGGTTCTGGGTATCAAATGGGGATGAGCCACATTCACGGTCAGTGACCTAACTCCTGTATGGTCTCTCTGGCCCATGAATAAAGTGCTTTTAAAAATAACTGTAAGTTTAATTTTTATTTTATTGCGAGTATCCGCCCGCACGGCAGAGTCTGGCAAGCTCCCTGTGGCATATTCGATATGCCAAAAACAGTAACAAGTCTCACAATGGAGGTGTTACTGGTGCCCGCTCAAGCAAATCGATGAGCAAATTGATGAACAACGGGAGGACAGTGCTACAGTTTATTGAAAGATATTTTGAAGAATCACACTTTAGATAACTTAAAGAAAACACACTTTCAAAATATTTTTGTTATGCAAAACAGACTTAAGATTTTTTCGTATTCCTATGATAGGAGAATATCACTGATCCTCTTGGTTTTGCAAATCTTAAAATTGTTTTATGCCTTTAAAGAGATTTTACCTAAACATTACTGAAAAAAAACAATTAAAATTTAGGCTATCAGAATTAGACTCTTTTATTGGTTAGAGGCTAAGGATTTACTTTCACATGACATGAAAAGCATTTCTGGGTGGATGTAAATTGGAGACCAACAAGATTTTTTTTTTGTATATGAACCACTTTCAATGATACAGAACAGAAAAGTAGCATGAATTCCTTTGAGAATGCTCAAAATTCACTACTGTAGTAGGGAGAAGCTTTGGACATTCTTATTGGGAAAGGATAGACAATTTTTTTTCTATCTTGCTGTAATTATTTTTATCAATGGTAAAGAAGGCCTGAGATCAGAGCTGGGCCCTGTAGCTCCCTCTATTATTTTTGAAATATATTTAAAGTAGTCCTGACAAGATGGACATTTATAATGTATCCACTCTGAAATATATTCTGTAAATTTAAAATATACCTTACTTTGCCAAAATAGCAGAGCTCAACAGTTAATTTGTAAAGTGATTGTATTGGTCCTGAGTTTTAATAAATTTACTTTGTAGTTTGGTTTATTAATGAGAGATTAATATTTGAAATTGTAGTATAGATTTGTATACCACATATGTGAAGAAGTTATACACATTGCTGATTAACAGATGCCATTTTTAACTGCAGTTTTTTATTCCTTATTAATAATGTCGATGCAGTACTAATCTGGAATATTTTACATTGACATATGAATTATTAAGTTTCTGGTTTGTACTTTTAAAATTCTGTAAAGTTCAAAATCTGCAAATATTAAGACACGGAATAATGTTATTTTTGATGGGAGTTATGGGAGATACAGGAGACATTACCTAAGCTTTTATTCTTAGTCTTATTATAGTCTGTGCCATGGCTTTCACTTCATTAACTTTAAGTCTATTTTATTTTTATTTATCTATTAATAATATAGAATTCATTTAACAAAAAATTAATAAAACCAATTAGGAACAAGCCTGAATTATGCTTTGAAATAATGTACAAAAGGCTTCTTATAAAATGTTTATGACTTTTTAAGAAACAATGTAGTTTTTAGGTGATCATTTTTAGTTTTTGTTACTTTTGAATTTAGTGTTTTTTATCAACTTATGTTTCTTTTATTTAAAATGTGCCTTCAAGGCAGCAGGAGTGGAGGGGAGGGAATGGTGTGGGAGGGAGCAGGGAGCGTGGGAGCACTTGTGGAGGGAAGTGGACAGGGTGATGGGATTTGTGTTAGAATATTGTATGCCAAAGACTTAGCTATCAGTAACTTTATTAATTACGGATTCTTTAATTACTGTTTTTAGACATTTAAATCAATAATTTTGTGCTTGGGATAACCAATAATATGAGAAAAAAAGCACAGTGTATTTTACAAGATATTGCTAGACAGATTAAAATAGAGAAGTTGATATCAGATTATTATTTGAAGACTGTCATATTTGGGAGGGAAGGTTTGAAGTTTACACCTTCAGGTAGATGTTTTTCTGTGCACTCATGAGAAAAATCAGGTCATACAGCTTCAGAATAGTGTGGGTAACCTAACCACCTTTGTACCACTGATAACAATAAAAAAAGTAAAGTGAGGATTTTTTCCTACTATTTGATAATGTTTTTATATGCATAGTGTTAGAGATTATCGAAACAGTAGAGTATCCTACAGGAGGACCAGTGTTACTGTTCACCATTCAATTGTGTGTAATTTATGGTGTAATGATGGGCGATCCTTAAGTTAGTGATGCTATAGCCTCCTAATTTACAAGTTTTAGGGTGAATAGTTGGATCATA